TAGAATCTTCACCCGACCACATATTATGGTTCCCTCAAAGTTGCCCTGTGACCCTTACTTAACCTTTGGAGCCTCAGATTTCTCCTATATTCAACAGGAGTTTGGAGCAGGTGGTCTCTAAAGTTCTTCCTAAAAAGAAATTCTTTAATTGTATATCTTATATGTCTAATCCTCATCAGGTCCTGTCTCACTAAAGTCATCCTCTTCCATTTCTTCGGAAAGTCCACGGAAGGCTCCATTTTGGAAGAGTCACAACCATGAAGCTCTACTTGGTGTGTCCATGGAAGTGAAAGAACTTGAAAAGCTCATCATTTTACTATTAACCAAGCAAATTCTTCTTTGTATCTCCTCAAGAGTAGTAAAATAAATGCAAATATGCAAATGTTTGAAAGGCAGCAACCCAAAAGGCCATTTTTACTAAAAGACTATTTGCCTGAAAAGAAAAGAAGAAATACAGGCTATCTGGAGACCTGGAACACTATGAGGGAGTGTGTGTGTGTGGGGGGGGGGGGGGGGGTCAGATATTCAGAATTGGCACTGTATTTTGAGATATATTCTTTATGTCTGTTGACTTATTTTGCAACCAAGAACTGGACGCTTCACAATTAAAGAACCCTGTTCTGCACACAATGAAACTCACGTTTTTCTTTCTGTTTCCTAATGCACTCAACTTTTCATAAATAGCTCATTTGTGACTCAGTTATCACTAGGCCCTTCCAGAGTACACAAAGCAAAAGCTGCTCTTCTAATGCAATATAAATAAAGATAAGTGTCTGCCCTACAATATGCTGTGCCTCTTTCTGGTAATTCGCTCTGAAATAATAAACTTTTATTTAGGTCCAAAGGGCAAGAAAGTCAGACCCACCATACATGATCTCCTGCTGCTCTGTGGGCAGTACCAGAGCCCATCCTGACAAAACTATCATTCATCTGCAGTGAAATGAAAAAAACAGAAATAATGCAGCGAGTTTTTTAAAAGCTAAAACTGTTCAATTTATAGGTCTGTGTTTATCCTCAGACCATATCCTTCCTACATTTAGCTCTTAAATTAAAGAGCCTCTCTTTATAGGATGATGGGGACAGCACAGTTAGTAACGTTTATTAGGAAAAAATAAAACTGGGCCACTGTGTTGATCTCCCCAACTCTTTTTTTTTAATTTTACTGATCCAGCATAAAATCTAAATGCCTGCAAAGTAATCTCCCGAAAAAGTATGAAAGTTGCTATTCATGTATAAAGATTAATCATAATTTACCAAGAGTTATACAGTCCACAGAGTTAGGCTACCTTGAAGTAGGAAAGACGATGACAGTCTCCACCAACAAACGATGAAAACAGAATGTACAGCCTGAAAGTTGAGTATGAACCTAGATACCTAGAAGTTCTTCCATCAGTTAGATTTGTAACACAAATCAATATGAACGGAATAAATAATGCTAGTGGCTTGGTGGATGCACAGAGCACACCAGTGTTAGCAAAATGGCAAAATTCATATAGCTTTGAAAGTTGGACTACAAGAGCGGGCGTCTAATGGCATACTAAGCAAATAGGAAGCTGCCACAGCCACCAGAAGGACAAACATACAGAAATTCATGTGACTGGATCTCAAACTTGCCTCAAATCAACAGCTTTCTACTGTCTTGATTAAATGTCACAATGCAAAATATCCATACGTTAAGTAAAATTATGTTTTCAGGTAACAGGAAGAAAAACGCAGCACCATTTATTTTTCTTGTTAAGGAATTGTCATTTAAGCATCATCCTGGAGTATTCATAATAGAATTCAGGTTTATAAGATGCAAGCAAGGTGAGAAATGTGTGTTTCTAAAAACTAAAAATCTCAAGAAGGAAAAACAGAAATGACGTGCTTCTATCTCATTTAATGGAAGAGCTAGGATTTAAATTGTTTAAAGGCAGAAACTGTGTTAAATTTTGAAGCAATGTTGGTGGTGGCTACTAGTAGAATCCAACCATATTCAGGATTGTTTTTATGTCTGCATTTATAATTTTAAAGAGCCAAGAAGGGGAGTTGATGAATTTCTGTTAAAAGCCATTCCTATGTTCCATGGTAACAACATGTGGTAAATATTTATTTACAGCGTTTAATAAACCATCCATTTAAATGAAATCAACAAAAAGGAAGTATATATAGATATGTGATTCAGAGACTGAAGTTAATCTTAAAATGTAATAAAATATGGAGAGTATCCCAAAAATATTTTTTTTTAATCATGTACCCAAAAGGATACCTGGTCCCTTTACACACTGCTGTCCCGCTGGCTCTGCCCTTGTGTTTGAGGTGGCCCTTAATGGCAACTGAGGACCAGGGCACCGGTGGCAAGTTACCCACCTATCTCACTCGCCACCTCATTCCTTCCTGGACTGCTGTATGTGGAGTCCCTCTCTCCTCTCTTTGAGCACACCACATGAGCCCTCCCCTCCTTAAATCCCAGTTCAGTATTCACAGCGTCTATTAAACAAACAAATGAAAAACACCTGACTTGCAGATACCTTTCTCTGATTCTGCAAACCCACAGCATTTACGCACTCGGTAGGGTATAGCATTGAACAAACATCGGATGACAGATATAAGTATTTTCTCTAGGATTGGATCAGGGATAATCCGGGATAACACAGGATATAAATATCATTCATCACCTATTTTGGAAAAATTACAGCCAGTAATTCCATGATGTGAAATATTTCTGCAGAAACAAAGCCTCACAACTAGAATTTCACCTTCACTCAAAACAAACCATTACCTGTGGTTAATGGCCCAGAGCAGTGACAATGCCTTCAAGGAGCAGAACCAGCCTGAACACTTGGTCCGGAAATTTTATTCAACTGCAGAGCAATGAGCACACACCACTGACTCACCTAATCTAATTAAACGTTCCCAAGGCTCTAAATTCGGTGTGTCACAAGCAAAGCCACTGAATACCCACCCAGAAGTTGTTGCCTACCCAATTATTCCCATTTCTCCCTAAAGTTTTATTATTAGAGTATGTCTTTGAGAACTGGTGGAGACAAAATGATGAAGTGGCCTTTCCAACTCAAAGAGCAGGGCTGAGGCCCTGAGAGTCCAGGGTGCTCCTTACCCTTCCTTCACTGTGCCCTCCATTACCCAGTAGGCTTAATTGTTTTGCGTCCTCCCGCCTCTTTGATGCACTCTGATGTGAACTTTTCCTCCTCACCTGGGGCAATAGCCAGAGGGGATATGGAGACGGGGAGGAATTGTTTGAAGGCAGTTAGAAGTGACAGAATGTCTGCAGGCTTTGAGACAAAAGTCCCTAAAAAGGTAACATCTGAAGACCCAACCTTTCCCATCAAGGCCTTCAAGAAGCATCTCTTACTGTCCTCATTATCACGTACCTAACATACTCTTCAACATACTGCAATTGTCTTTCCCTTCCATCCTCAAAACATTTAATATTTCACTTTTAAAACCTGTCTTTTTTAATAGAAGGAATACCCTGAGCTTCCAAAGGGATTTTTTTTAATTATACTTTTAGTCATATTGAGAAATACTTCCTCTAACTTCATTCTTTGAGGGACACATATCATAAATATATATACATATATAATATATATATATTAGTGATTTCCAGATACAATTAAGTACATGTGCAGTTGAGAATGACAGGGAATAAAAACTGGCATTCCAGCACCCCCAAAAATATACTGTTAACTGCGACTGAAAGGCTATTTCCTGGAGAGAACTGTAGGTCCTTATAGAACGAAATATAAAACAGAGACAGCTCCTCAATGTCATCTGCACAGATTGTCTCTGATGTTCCTAGCACTGGACTAAATGATGCAAGGAGAAAGAGAGGCAGGTCTTTTCTTCAAGGGCTGTCTTAGCTTGGGCTGTATAACAACTACCACAGACAGGAGGGCTTAAACAACAAGCATTTATGTCCCAGTTCTGGAGGCTAAGAAGTCCAAGGTCAAGGTGCTGGCAGACCTGGTATCTGATGACAGCCCGCTGTCTGGCTTGAAGATGGCTGTCTTCTCATTGTGTCCTCACAGAGCAGAGAGCAAAGAAGCAAGCTCTCTCTGGACTCTTATAAGGGCACTAATTCCATTCATGAAAGCTCCACCCCAATGACCGCATCTAACCCTAATGACCGCCCAAAGGCCCCACCCCCAATACCGTCTCACTGGGGTCAGGTAGAGTTTCAATGTATGAATTTGGGAGAGACGCAAACATTCAGTCCATAACAGAAGCCCAGCGTCAGTGAGAAAGACACTTTAGACACTAAAGCTTACAGTCCGTGAGATCAGTGCCATGGCAGCCATCTACCAAGTACACTGGGAGCACAGAAGAGGGAGAAATGAATTCTGCTTAGGGAAGGAACACAGAAAAAGTCCCAAGGAAGAAAGGATACTTCAACTAAATACTGAAAAAAGAGCAGGAGTTGACTAAGAAGATACTGGGGGAGGGAATTCTTTAAACAAAAGAACAACTCTCTAAAAAAATCCCTCCCTCTCCCTCTCCCTCTCCTTTTCCCTCTCCCTCCTCTCCNCTCCCTCCTCTCCCTCCTCTCCCTCCTCTCCCTCTCCCTCTCCCTCTCCCTCTCCCTCTCCCTCTCTCTGTTGCTTGGAAAGAATACAACCAACCTACCAATTTTAATCAAAGCTAAACTAGACTCTTAATTACTGTTGAAGTGTCTCCAAAAGTTATTTGTTTTCAGTGCATCTTCAAAAGTGACCTACTGAATTTGCAGAGGCAGCAGAATTTTTACAACAGTAACAATACTAGGATGAAACTTAATGGTTTTACTTAATGGATTACCTTTATGGCCAAGAGCCCACTAAAGTCCCTGGGAAGCTCTATTTGCTGCCCCAAGCTTACATTTCATTAAGTGCTTTTTTATTTTAATGTAAATTGATAAAAATTCAAAAGCTATGCATTTACTTTTAAACTAAACCATTCTCCGTAAATCGCTGAATACTTTACATGAACAATAAGAGATTTAGGAGATGATTTGTTATTCTTACCTCCATGGGAAAAGCTTTGAAATTAACTGTGTGCTCAGAACCACGCTGGTTTTCTCTTCCCCAATGAAATCTAACTTCATACAGTTCAAATTCATGCCCTTGAGGCAATGGACCTCCCGATAGAACTGAAAAAGAAAATAAACTCTACTTAATTACCTCTCAAACATATTAATCAACACAGCAATATAAACACTGGGGACATGTTTTGTCAAAAAAACTCTCATTAGTTCTATAGAGTAAATTCATATAGCAAAATGAGAAATACATCACAATTGTGAGATGAATTCACACTATGTGGGTTTGGCTGAAATTCTTATACTGGCCATTCAGATACAGTAGAAGTGCAAACAATCTAAAATACCTGGTAATGATATGTATTACATTTAACTTTAACTTTGTTAACTTTAGACAGAGAAAACAAACGCAATAGCTACACTCTGAGACATAAATTTAGAACTGATCAGAAGACAAGAATATGGTATAAGTCTCAGATTGACCAATAATTTAGTATAGGCCTTATCAATAAATTAAACATTTACAGATCATCAGTTTGTACTAGTAGGCCTTCCATTTAGAGAACAGATGTAAGCTAACAAAATTATCCATGAAGAGAATTATTAAGCCAATCTGATTTTTCTACAATGAAATCACACTTAAAAAGCAATTTACCATTCAGTGTCACATAAATGCGAACAAAATAAAATTGTGATAAAATATTAACAATACTTAAAATATTAACATTAGTTCTACAGGACCCTGTCTCTATTTCTCATTTCTGGATATGACCCAAAACTTTGTTACAAACAAGGGCACTCTAAAGGATAATGAAAAATAAATTTGTACAAGAACCTGCCTTGAAGCAATAAAATACTTTCCTTAGTTAAACATTCCCCGATATCATATGGAGAACCTTGAAATAAAGTTTATTACGATGGCCAATTTCAACACAAATAAAGGTTGTTTGCATTGTCCCTGTAAAAACTGTTCATTCTAAATAGGACCGGGTAAGAATTATGGGTTCTTTTTCAGTCAAGGAGCTGACAAAATTCACCCCATCCCCACAGAAGTGGTCTCTCTCCAACAGATGAGTGTTCACACTTGAATTGCTGTTGTGGAGGAAGTAACAGTGTCCAAACTGCTCTCTGGAGGAACAGTTTTATTGTCCATCCTTATTCTAATACTCAAAGAAGAGAATCGGAACAGCAATATTTGGTTGGTTCTTCATCTAATAACTTGTTTTGAAAGGAATTTAAGGCTGTTTATATCAAGGTACATAAAATACAGCTAGAAAGCATAAATTACAAAGAAGAGCAAAAGGGGGGGGGAAGACAGGAATAAAATAGATGGAGAAATTGAGGCTATCACAAAAACAAATGTCCCAAAGTCCTTGCAAACTGTGCCTTACAAATTGGCTTCTAAGCTTTCTACCATCTCAAAGAAGACAAAGAGCATCGGTAGCAAAAGGCAATTTTACCAGAGGGTAAGGGGGGAGGGAGGTGGTAGATGAGGGTAAAGGGGATCAAATATATGGTGATGGAAGAACTGACTCTGGGTGATGAACACACAATGTGATATATAGATGATGTATTACAGAATTGTACACTTGAAACCTACGTAATTTTACTAACCACTGTCACCCCAATACACTAAAAAAAATAATAATAATAAATAAATATATATATAGATATAGATATATCTATATCTATATCTATATATATATATATCTTCCCCCAAAGCCTCTTCATCATGTATACTCAGAACACACACACACACACACATACACACACACACACACACACACACACACACAATTTCTGAAACTGCTACAGAGCGGTCTACTGGTACTTTCTTAACAAAAATTAATGTTACAACTGATGTTGACAGTGATTTCAGGGGACCAAAAAGAGATCCATGTTTCAAAAATATATTCCCCACCCAATCAATGCCTAGTATTTCTTTAACAGGAATGAAGCCTTTAGTTTAAAACGGGGTTAGAATTTACGTTCTAAAGAGCCTGGAAATTCCAGCTCCACAGATCTATGTCTCAGTAGGGAGAAGTTCAAGGCTCACAGGGACCCATTTAATCATCCCTTCAACAAGCATTTTTTATCACCTACATTGCACCAGGCACTGTATTAAGCACTTAAGACACACCTATTTTGGCAAAACAGACAGAATTCCATGGTTTCGTGGATCTTACATTCTATTAAATGAAAATAAGCACAAAGAAGGGAAGCATTTTGCCCAGGCCTGGACCCCAGGGAGAGGTGACAAATAGGCAGCTTTCAGCCAGCAATCAGCTGCTGGGTACCTTTCACTTTTGCTGCTGAAGACTAACCCAAAGTTAAACCACACTAAAATTACGTGGCTGTACAAAGCCATAAAAAAATGACAAAATAGGGCCGGCCGAGTGGCTCATTGGTTAAAAGTTGGCTTGGGAGCGCAAGCTCTGAGCAGCAGGACCGCTGGTTCAGATCCCACATGGGCCAGTGATGCTGCGCCCTCTACAGCTAAGATGGTGAACAACAGCTCAGCCTGAAGCTGGGCTGCTGTGAGTCACCGGTGACGGCGTAGGCATCAGTGGAGCTGCCGTGGGCTACCGTGAGCTGCTGTGAGCAGCCGTCCAAAGGCCAGCAACTGATCTGCCTCTCCCGGGAAGAGCGCAATGATCACAACAGCAACAAGGGCCAGTGAAGCGATGTCCTCCACAACTAGACTGAAGATCAAAAGGACAGCAACTTATCTGTTCCCCTTCCTCAATTCCCCAATGCTGTTCCCTCCCCCAATTCCCCAATAAAATCTTAAAAAATAAAAATGACAAAATACTGAATTCAGGATTTTATGCGGTGCCAGGTAAAAGCATTACCTGTTCATCCCCCAAGAATGATTGTGTTTATAGACTAAATATAAACAGTAGTTCTGTTTTACTCATTTCGCAACATCCTCTTAACGCATTATTCTGACTTTTCATAGCTTTCTTTTTAAGTAAGGAAACCACTCATACCAAAAGGTATATACTTTTCCTAACATTTATGATTATCAAACTTCGCTGAGTTATATTTTGTCAGTAGATGGCAGGTTTATTAGTTGTGATGTCATTAAGCTCAATAAAATTACAATGAAACAATATGAAACTCGTACTGATGATATGCTTCGTTTCTTTAGAATGACAAACTTGTGAAAAGAATATAAAATCAACTGATGTCATTACTTCTGCATCCATTTTCTTTAATGCCCTTTAATAGAAATGGCCATTATGCTTATGAGAGATAAAAAGAAATCCTTCTGCAAAATTTGGAACCCCATAAAGACATGATATATGTATATTTTCCTAAATCTATCTGAGCTTCTCTAATCCTGTGCTGAAGACAAATTTGGCAGATGGTGAACAGGCTGCTGTTAATCAAGGCTTATTCCCCCGCATTTCATTTGAGTTCAACATACGTTTCAAGATGGACTCCATGCCCAGCCCTGTGCTGACCACCCAAAAATGATATCGTCTCAGTGCTGGTAAGGCATTCTCAGTGCTTACGGAGCTGAATTTAATAGTTTAAATAAATTGCATTAGGAGAGTAAGGGGAAGGATACAAGGTACTAGGAGGGTACTCAGCAAGGGTCAAGGCAAAACCAAGGGGCATCAGAAAATCAGGGAACTTTCGGAGGAGATGACAGCTAAGTAGAGCCTTGAAGAGTAAGCTAAGAGAAGTGAGAAAGTACATTCCAGCAGAGAGAATGAGAAAGTACATTCCAGCAGAGAGAAGAGGCGGAGGAAGGCTCAAGAGATGGGAAACAGCTTGAGAGTGTTCCAAGAGAATAAGGGCACAGGTTAGCAACGGCCAAAGCCAGGTCTTAAGACGTTAGCATCAGGAGAGGACCTGCAGCCCATGCTCGGGGGCTGGAGTTTAGCAAGGAGGCAATCATCAATGATTTCTAGGCAGGAGGCTAATATTTTTGCACTTGAAGATATGACTTGCATGTCTGCATGGAAGGTGGGCCAGCAAAGGGCAAGCGTAACTGGTTAGAGAGCTGCTCTCAAAGCCCAGGCAAAGATGGGAAGGCCAGTGATGGAGCCTGGCGGAGCCACATCTCCAGTGGGGAGGGAGACCACAGCCAGTGGCCCCGATGTACCCCCGAAGGATCCAAAGGCCCAAACAGGTCATTCTCAATATGTTTAAGGATTTTATATCCTGTTTAACTTTTAAGGAATCCAAAATGTATTCACGAAACATTCCAAAAATAGTAGTTCTTTTTTGACATTTGATGTTTTAAAAGCAGAAATCAATTCTTTTTATTGTCTCCAGCTTTTAACCTACAGCTTTATTTTGTATTAGAGAATAAATATAGGAGCGTCCAGTTAGTTCAGGTGGTTAGAGCGCAGGCTCATAACTCCAAGGTTGCCGGTTCAATTCCCACACGGGCCAAGGAGCTGCGCCCTCCACAACTAGATTAAAGACAACTACTTGACTTGGAGCTGATGGGTCCTGGAAAAACACACTGTTTCCCAATAAAGTTTTTAAACAAAGAATAAATATCATCAACAATATGGAGACAAGGCAAGTTAAGCTGGATCTACACAAGCAAAATGAACCAGATTAAGGCAACTGGGCCACAGTCTAGATAACTGAAATCCCCTAAAGTTAACTAATAACAAATATAATCATAAAAAATTCAAGCCCGACATTTCATATAAATAAATAATACATAGTCTCTTCTTAAGTGAAAATAGTTTTAAGGTACTTTTGACGACTTCATCTTGAAATCAGCAAGGTTGCCAAGGAACACTATGAAGAGTTGTCATTTTTTTAAAGTATGATTAATAATAATAATCTAGCCTAAAATTACATTGAGAATCCTAAAAGACGCAGAAATAAAATTTTCTAATTAAGGTTTTTATAATAAGTTACAGTGGAGGGCACAAATGACCTATCTTGATTAGCAATTTCTCCCATACCGATGGCCCATTAAAAATGGCATTACCCTTAACACACTGCTGGTCATCGGACGGAATGACATTCTGTTGCACAAGCTTGGGCAGTCTCACACTTTTTCACAACTTAAGTGTCAAACCACTCAGGTGGGAATCTATACTTGTATTTTTATACTTAAGCTACTTTTTATAAGTATG